ATTTAAAAAAGTCTTTCAGTTTAAGTTCAGTTGTACAAATAATGAATATCTGACAGAGTATGCATTGTTAAAAAAATAAGAAATATTTAATGGAATATCTAAATCATATACTACAAATTTTAATTTAAGTCCATTAAGCAACACAGAAGTTATGAATTAAATGAGTGCGAGCTCGAGTATACAAGTACAAAAGTTTAAGCTGGAACTATGGGGTATATTAAAAAAAAAAACATTCCTGCTTGTTCACTAGTTTGAAGCTTTTCTTTTTGCCTCTTATATAACATGTTTAAGGCTATGTATGTATATATATACTTTAGTATATGTATAATATAATATAGCTAAGCATAAAATCGAACACAACTTGAGGCTGGCTTTGCACTAGATCAGAATAGATAAAAATATCTAGAATATTAGCTTAACTTGTTTTGAATCTCAAATACCAATAGATTTTTGCTCTACAACAAATCTTAGACCATAATATGACTTATATATAATATATATTATAATATATAATAAATATATTAGCATATTATATTAATAATTTATGAAGTCCAAACGGATATTTAGATCAACCTACAGCTAAAAAGAAAAACACACAAAATGAACTAAATTTGCGTTACTTCATTAACTAAATAGCACATATTATATTGATATGTTATATAAAAATATATATTATTTTTGACTAAGTATATAAAATGTTCAACTTAGAATAAAAAGAAAAGCCAAGGAAGAAATAAATACAAAGAAAGAAGCAAAGCAAGCCACATACACATGCATGTAAGCTAATATATATATGTGTACTACATATATATACATACATATATACACTCACACATTGTCTTTACTTGTTTCATAAGAAAAAAACAAAACTAAATCTGTCCGTTTTCTTTCTCTCACCTACTCGACGCAAAGATGGAGCGAAGATGAGGTGCGACTCTCTGGATGCTAATGAAAATTCGTGGCATTTCCAATAGCACGTCAGATTAATTAACGCTGTGGCGCTGGCGACTTTCTTTTCAATCAATTGTCGTACAATTTACAGGCCTCGGGCTAGCTAGCGGTAAAGTCAATCTGGCCATCAAATATTACGTATACGCAGCGCTTGGCCAATTGATGGTGTTTGCGACATTTGTTGTTGTCGCGCATGTCAAAGTTTCGGCTGCTGCTGCTGCTGTTGTATGCAACTTAATCATGATATTTATGCCACGCCCCCTCGACGCTGAGACCCCGCTGCGCCCCGCGCTCAGAGCGTTGCAGACAATAAAAGACAACGGCTCAGGCGCTAATGAAATTTACTGGCCCAAGACTGGCAACTGGAGTCTGGACACGCGCCTACGACAGCGCCTAATGAATGTGCAACAGCAGCAGCAACAGCAGCAGCAGCAAGCAGTGGCAGTGGCACTGCTGCATATGGCAATAAAAAATCAGGCAAACGAATTGTCGTTAATCAGCGCTCAGGCGAATGGCGAAGTTGAAGTCCATGTCCAAGTCGAACGGAGCGGCGAGTAAAAGTTGTTGCTGTTGCTCCTCATGTTGTTGCTATTGTTGTGCAGTAGCTAAACACCCACACCCATACGGACACGCACACGCACGCTCACACACACACATACAGCAAATCTCCACCTTGCCCATATTCTCCATTCTTAGCGTCGCGTTCCTGTCGCGCCCGCAATCAAAACTGTCGCCTATGAAAAATGTGCAGGGCAATGGCGTCGAACCCTGCACATATGCAACAACAACAACGACAGCAGCAGCAACAACAACAAAAACAATGCATCATGCATACACATGCATATGCATCTATGTGTGCAATACACCCACACAAGCGCAGGCTTTTGGTTCTATTTTATTTTTAGCCTTTTTCCCTTACCTAATACCCTAGATCTTTGCATAAATGGCGGCAGAGTGGGTATATAGACTATATATGTATATATATCTTTAAGCCTCGTCGTCTCTCCTTTGCCCAGGCTAACAGCAAAGCTAAACAAACTGCAATGAGTCGATGTCTCCATTTCATGGCACTCTTCGATTCAAAGGGTATCTATCTAGTCAGACAGTCGCCTGCACTTGTTCTGCATATCTCTTATTGTATTTTGGCTTTTTTTCTCTCGTCCATTTTCCATTCGTGAGCGTCAAATAAACGAGCAGCAAAGAGTTGTTGTTTGCTTTTTAAACCGCACTTTGTAGAACTGTAGTTAAAAATCGCAAACACATAAATACACATAGAAATCTATGGACAGCCCTCGCACAGCGCCGACTGCAGATGCCCAGATGCCCAGATGCCCAGATGCCCAGATGCCCAACAGTTTGTGTGAGCGAGCACTGAATGGCATCGAGTTCAATAATAGTTTTACTTTTATTTCGCATATGCATATATAATATAATAGATATTTAGATCTGTCTAAGAGCTGCTCAGTCAATGTAAATGGGCTTAGAGCGCATGCGATTTTTATGCCATATTCATTAAATAACAAACAACAGCTTCAATGGAACAGTTAAATATATGTACATGTACATATGTATGTATTGCTGTAAAGTGTGAATCACATGTGTAATCAAATTAAAACTTCTCTATCTGAAATTGCGAGGTGTGAAGGCAAGCGAAGGCAATTAATAAATTCAACTGAGCTAATTAAATATCGATTAAAAAGTTTAAGAACAATTTATTATACAAATTACTATTACAAGCAGATATACAACTATATATATAATAGATTAAAATTTATATAGACTTACTTTACATTTTTGCTGTACTCAAATTATGCAATTTTTGTATTTTTTAGCAAATTTTTTTTTTAATTTTTCATTGATTAAATTGTAATTAAATAAAACATTATAATAATTATTGATAATTAAATCAATTCAATTAAAACTCTGCCCCAAAACTGTTAAACTTGACTTTAAGCGTAAAATTCGCTCTGGCTTTAAGAACACAATTAAAATTTCTGCTCAACTTTGCCGTTATTCTGCTTTATTTTTTTTTTTTTTCTCAACTCTGGCTCCCAATTTGTATGTTAAGCTGCCATAACTGTAATTTTGTCTGCATTTGCATGACCTTAGACAGAGAGAGAGAGAGAGAGAGAGAGCGAGAGAGAGAGAGAGCGCACAGGCAAATTGCTAGACAGAGAGCGTAGGAGGCAGCGAGGCGAGCATGGGGCGTTGTAAGTATAATTACGGCTTGTTTGATATATACATCAATTAGCAGCAAAAATTTTATTTTGGGCCCAGTCAAATGAGAAAATTTACAAGAGAAATCCATAAAAAAAAAACAACAACCAAAATTTTCACAACTTTCCTTTCTGTGTGGGTGTGGATAAAAAAAAGTATGAAATGCAAAAAAAAAAAAAAAAAAATACTGTCGTCAGCTATTTGAAATTGTCATGAAAATTTGATAAGGTTTTCCCTACAAGCTTTTTTATTTTTTATTTTTTTTTTTTTTTGCCTTCCTTTGCTGAACGAGGGGCCATGTCAACCATTTTGTTGTTGTGGGCAGGCTAACTGTCATGCACAGTGGAGCCGAAGCTGTGTTTCAACAGTTGACTCTGCTCCATTCAATGCGAAACGTACATTAGCATATCAGGAAATTTAATTATATATAAATTAATAATTAAGTGATAAACCATTTTGGGGCAGAGCTGATCTTGTTATTTTGAAGGCATAATTATGATTTGTTTGATTTATTATTGGCATTAATACTTATTTATGCAATCGCCATAAATAATCATCTCTATCTCTTCAAATTTACTAACAATATTTAGCGATAAAAGTAATAAACGAAATGCAAATAGAAATCTGTGTTTCATTTTCAAATATTGTTAAATTTTGCAACTATCCCATTAAATTAGCATAAATGTGAATGATTCGTCAAAAGTAGGCTGGCCCAGAACTGCGAGTGGTGGCTGGGGGCGTGCTTTGTATATAGTGCACACATATATGCACATATATTTATATGCGTGTGAATATATGTACATATCTCTCTGGCTCCATCAGCGTGATTGTTGCTCCCTGTGTACAGCAATTTTGGACTCTGACTGGCTGTGCTGGTGTTTGTCCTCCTGACCAGGTCCATTGCTGCGCTGCCCGCGCAGTCTGCTGCAAGATTTTCATTTTATTATTTATTTTTATTCCTGCTAACTAACAATTTTGCGTTGCTTTAGTAGTTGAGTTTTGCGTGTGTTTGGTCTGTCATTTTCATTAAAATTTCATTGCGCGCGCAAAATACAGCAGCAGCAGCAGCAACAGCAACAGCAACAACAACAACAGTAACTGCAACAACTAAGGCGAATCAAACAATTTGTGCAAAAACAAGAAAGCAAAAAAAAAAAAAAAAAAGGAGAGGAAAAAAAACGTAATAAAAAAAAGTAAAATTGGCGTACTGCTGCTTGGTTGTTGAACCGAGTGCGAAGAAGCGACAGCCAGCAAAAGCAGCGACAGCAGCAGCAACAACAACTACGTACAACAGCAAACCAGCAGCAATTTTCATTGTTTTTGGGGGTGTGGTTCGGCAAAAACACAGAAACAGCAACAACACATAGGTAAATACAGCTGCCAAGTGCAGCGCGCCTGCTCACACTGGCCCCGCTGCACGGCTGGTGAGAGCGAGACAGAAGTGCAAGCGCTGTTAAAGTCTATAAATGCGAGCTGCCAACCAGCCAGGCAGTCGCTGCTGTCGGCACTCCTGCTGTCTCGCTCTAACATACGGTGAGCGTCGCTTGCGCTCGCTGTCAGCCATTGCTAAAGCATTGCGCTCTCGCTCTCTTTAAGCATGTGTGCGTGCGTTGAAAAAGGAAGTCGCTTGGACTCGTGTTTTTGTTGTTGCTATTGCTGACGATTGACGACGACGATAAACGACGACGACGACGACGACGACGAGAGCAGAGACAACGGCATCGTCAACAGCAAAGGCAAAGGCAAAGGCAGCGCAGTCAGCAACAACAACAAATTGGACTGGTCGAACGACTTCTGCTGCCGCCGTCGCTGCTGTTAACGCTGTTAACGCTGCTTCTGCTGGTGCTGCTCGCATTGAAGGTGTCACGACGAAAATCAGTTCCAAAGTAACATTCGTGCCGCTCGGGTTGTGCGTTCGTCGCTCCGCTCGCTCGTTTTGTTGTTGGTTCAAATCAACGTTCAATCGTTTACCGTTCACCGTTATATTTCGTCGCGTTTAATCAACGCCGTGTCACGCACACACTCTAATATACATTAAAATACACAGACACACTCATACATACACACACACATACATACACATCCATAGCAAAAACAACAAATAACAAACATTTAAATAACGTGCGTGTGCAAAATCCTAAACACAATACAACAACAGCAACAACAACGAAAACAACAACAGCAACAGCAACAAGAGCCGTTAGCTAAAGTTCTAAAAGATACTAAAATCGTTCGATAAATTGTGCATTGTTTTTTTTGGTGTCTGCCGCAGCAAGTGTATTTGCCCTTAACCTGGCTAAAACAACAAAACACTCAACTACCAAATAACTGAATACCGAATAACGCATCGCAGACCAGAGTCGATCTCATCATCATATGGTCTGTCATAGGCATCGATCGACGCCAACAATTGGATCTATATAACAAATAATATCTACATATCCGCAATCCGATATCCTTAAACGGTATATTTTTTTGCTCGCTTTTGGAATATCCGCACGGCGACAGTGACAGCATCGAGAATCGCTCAAGCTCCGCGATATTGGTGTGTGTGTGTTTTTTTTTTTTTGGTGAGTGCTGTTTCCAGATGTGCACCAAAGCCATCTATCAATATCAATCCATAACAGAAATTTACTACCAACAAGCAATGTAATATATAATATAACCCATATTTCAATGAACTAACCAAATGACGCCGGCCAATGCCATCACGACTCTCACGGATTATACCAATATCTCTATTTAGCTATACTTAAGTTAAACTAACGCACGTCTCACTCTTTTCTCGGATTATCTTGGCCGCCTAGTTGAGAAACTTTTTGATAATATTGCAACGTCCTCCATTCTTACTTATCTTTAACTAAGATGTCCCAATCGATCTGTTCTCTTCGAATTTGACATAGTTCTCTTAGTTATCAATTGAGGTACAAGAAATTGGTTTGCCGTCGGCCCGAACTTATACTCCTAGCAGATATGAGAAGTAAACTTTAGGTCTTCGTATTACTTGTTTATATAGGAATGAATAAGGCTAATATGGGAGAATTAGATCTTTGAGTTGTTTATATAGAATTACAAAGATATTAATATCACTAGAACAGAAATCAAAATCGTTTCATTTGATGAACAGAGCTTAAGTCGTCTAACATATTTAACTGATGTAAAATAAGAGACTACATAGCGAAAGTATGGTAATACGAATCATAGGTAGAGTTCTCGAGATATACACAAGAAACTTCAAGTCTAAGCCTTAAAGATATCTTTTGATACTCAGCTATAATCATATATGCATACACTACTGGTCTATAGCTAGTCTCTCATTGAGTAATCTCTATAAATCATCTAATATTGCAAAAAGGAATTATTTGATAATTGAGCGGCGAATATATCTCTTAAGCTATGCAGGAAATAGTTTAATAAATGTTATAGTTCCCGAGATACAGCAGAAAGGGGCTTTAGCTAAACCTTAGTTGCATTCATATATGAATATACTACTGCTCTATAGTTGGCCTGTAACCGAGTCGTAAAGTGCGTCCAATAGAGCACGATTATTGTTCTTCTCCTCTGCGAAATCAAGGAAAACATGTATTGGATATCAGAATATAATATATGGATAGACCAATGAAGAAAATAGTTATAGTTCTTCACATATACATATATAAATATCTAAAGCAATATCCAAACTTTAAAGGCAGCACGAACATGCAGGAACTCTATAATTGATCTCTGGCAAACATATATTATAAAAAAAAAAATAAAAAACTGTGATAAATTCATATTGCAGCTGAACAGGAAATTCCATGATGAGTCCCAATGAGTGCATAATATGAGAGCGCATTGAAACCGAAATGGATTTTCATAATTTTAATGGGCATATTAATGCCGCCCAGTTTTGCTTTTCTTTGATATATTTTGTTTTTTGTTTTCTTGGACTGTTTGTTAATTAGGCAAAGGGCAAGGGGCAAGGGGGAAGGGGCAGAGGTCTCAGCAGCAGCAGCAGCAACAGCAGCAACAGTCAAAGGCAAAACATGGGCAATCCACAACTAACAACTAACTAGCATACTAAATATCACTATGCATATCTATATTCATATGCGATGGGGCTACCTGAACCCCAAGAAAAAACTACTGTGCAGCGCACACAATGGGAGCCCGAAGAAACTCTCGAAGCGCGGCTCGAGCGACCCGTTCAGGTCACATTATTCACACATTTTGATAAGTTTTTTTTTTTTTTTTTTTCTTCAGATTCAACTTCTTCTTCTTCTTATATTTTTATTATATTTTTGAGGCTGTTCTTGTTATTGTTGTTGTTGTAGCCGCCGCGCTTTATTAGCTAAT